ACAGGAATGGACAAAATGTATCTTTCAATACTCTGGTTACAACTAACAGATATGAACTAATAAGACAAGTAAAGAACAAAAGGACAAATTACTCTTGATATTAGTACATTCAGGAAGTGAATTCCAAAAGAGAAAAGCTCCATGAAACTTTTATGCTAGGGATAAAAATTTCTGACCATATTGTTGTAATATTCCAAGTATCCAGAAAAATAGAGAGTTACTTAAGTGTTAAAAAAAAAAAAATCTGATCAACTTAGGCACATCTTTTAGAAACATCTTATAAAAATTACATATTGTAAGAAAGGGTGACATGGTCTAAGACTGGGTCCTCAGGGAACTAGAAAATTATTACTGTCATCAAATTAAAATATAATTATTTTTAGCAAGTATATTTGAAGTTTAACTACATATAACTTTCATTTATCCATGGTGGCCAAATTTATAACAAGCAAGTTGCAGTAATTGCACAGAAGTCAAACCCATTAGTTGGTCAAAATGAAACATTTCAGACAACAATTCTTAGAAGAGCCAGGGCTGTGGTGTGAGCCTGTAGTACCGGCTACTAGGAAGGCTGAGGCATAGGATTGCTTGAGCCCAAGAGTTCAAGGCTGTAGTCTGCTATGATCATATTTACAAATAGTCACGGCACTTGAGCCTAGACAACATAGCACGAACCTGTCTCTTAAAAAACATAGTTCTTAAAGGTATCCTGTGACTTAAAATGAACATTGATAGTAACATTTTTGTTCAACCTCCCACTACCCAAGGATTTCTAAAGCACTCTTCAGAAGATGATATAATCTCTTCTGGTTCCCTCTCTTGTGAGGGACTATTTAGGCTGCTAAATAGTTTGAATACTGTCATAAAGTTCCCTATAACTGCTCCACTATGAATCTATTTCAGACTGTAGAACAAGACATATTTTTCCTCCTTCTTTTGCCTATTTATAGCCTTAAAATTAGAAATGTTTAGTCACTGGAGAAAATTTGGAAAATTTGAAAAAAATTCCTTATAATCTTGTAATCTTAAGATGTTCAATTAAACATATGGATCTTTTCTTTTAGACCTGTATTTTATTCACTTTTTTAAAAAATTAGAATTATATAGTTCATCCTGGGTTTCTCATTTAATATTACATGTAGGGGGCTTTATTTTTAAAATATATAAAATATGCGACAATATTTTATTTAATGGCTGCATACATTTATAGTAACTTCATAGGATAAAGTTTACCCTATGGACTTGCTATATTTTTCTTAATTATTTAGACTAAGATTTAGATTATTTTTCCATTTTGGCTGCTATAAAAATGTTTAATAAATCTAGTGTGTAAACATCTCTGTACATATGTAAAGCATATTTTAATAATAAAAGTATAGCTAAAAGTAGACACCCAATACAACTTTATGAACTTAGTTTTAGAAAATATTTCTCTAGAAAGCATATTCCAAATTATACCTCAATGAGATGAAAATACATGTTATATAACATTTGATAAGTATAATCATTCTTCAAAATCATTGTCAATTTACCAGTTAAATTTTCTCATTTGTTTTAAAAAGGCCAAATATTTTTTTCATGTATGTATTTGTCCATAAATTGCTTACTCAGATCATTTGTCATTTTTAAAATTAGGGTACATCATGGAAAATAGTGATTCTGAGTTGTATTTTGAAATTGGTTAGACCCTATTTACCGTACTTGCAAAATAATTTTTAGTATCATAAATCTTAATTCTAAAGAAAATCACCCAGTGTTTTTAATTAACTAGAGGTAGACCAAGATGGTCAAAGTCAAATGTTAAGTATCATAAGGGTGATAATTCGTTTCCAAACCATCCCTAAGTTTAACTGATCATATACAATATTTTCTGAAACAAACATTTTAGTAAATGTAGTTTGCTGTAATACTCATAGTTTTAAAGATTTCAAATCAAGGATCCTAAGAACTAACTAGTAGGCTTTCCATGAGTACAGGAAAACTTTGCCCTCTTTAGTAAAGAGATGGCCAGAGAATCAATTTCACTGTGACAAGAAACGAGATTTAAATTGTATAGTAACTGGTATGTAAATATTCACTAATCTTTCTTATCTATCAAAAGGGGCTAATGGTTAGTCCTGTGTTTTGTGTTCTCAAAAACAATTGGGTCAATAGTGTGTCCTTCTTTTGAAAAATAAGTGGAAAACAGAAGGCTAGGGATCTCTGGTTTAATTTTAATCAAGACTAAGTCAAAGGTATCTAGGGCCTATAAACTTGACAGATTTTAGCTTTTCTCATTGATCTGTAAACACTTACATTAATTACTTCAAACTTTTCTCAGCATTGTTGAAAATCCCATGTATTTGCTTTTTAGTTTTCTTTCTGTTGATGCAGAGGAGTTTTTAATTACACAGGAACTTACTGATAATTTGTTTCTTCTACTGCTTTTATATGAGAAAGTCCTTCTCCATATGTTTACCAATAGTTTCCACTTTAAATGCCTTAGGAAATCTATTCCTTTATCAGCTGTTGTGTGATGTGAAGAATAATTTTATACATTTTCTGAGTGGTAATACCAAACTAATCACACACAATAATTTTAAATTTTCTCCTTCTAATCTATTTTCGATCACGTTTCTTCTGCTAGTTTTAATTACCCTTGTTTTAAAGTATACTTTAATATCTGACAAAGCAATTCTACCTTACCCATTTTGTCTTTCTTTCCCCAAGAGATTTTTCAGCTAGTGCTATTTATTTTACAGGATAAACTTTAGAGTTGTTTTTTAATTTCCTCTTCATCCCTCCAGGAAAAAATTCCACTTGGATTAATTTAATTTCTAAATTAATTTGTGTTGAATTAATATGAGTTATGTCTTTCAGTTTTGGAAAATAGTACTTTTACCTATGCAAATCTTTGTGTGTTTATGTCTGTCCACACCCACATCGTAATAAAGTTTCATAGTTTGAACAGTAAATCTCAAATTTTAGGGTTATTTCTATTTATCATATGGCTTTTGTAATTTGTATCTATTTTTTCTAATTTAAATTAGGAAATCTTGATATGTAATACATTTTAATATTCAATTATCCTTCTGTTCTTGGGATAAATTCTACTTAGTTCTGTCAAAAGTTTATCAAATTATCTGCTGAGGTCAAGTATTGACTTAACCCAGAGGTGGTTCAGAGTATACCACTCTGATACAAGGATGATTTTGAGTGGAAGGCAATTGAAAAAAAATGTAGGCACAAGCAAAACTCTCTGCCCTCCCACTGTCTCCACTAGGAAAGGCAGAACAATTCTTAATTAGAGAAAAATCTAGACTTTTATCAGCCCAGAGGTGGCACCAGAGGAATCTACATAACAAATCCTTCTCAAATAACTTTTGTTTTCTACAACTGTCCCCAGTATATTTACCTTCCTACAGTATGCCACCTCTAGAAGCTCAAAGTCCTTTTCCTTTACGTTGTCACTGCTCTCAGTTATTGTTCCTTTGTTAAGGTGTTATATAAGCCCAAGCTCTAATCACTTCTTTGAGTTACTCACCACTGAGTTTTTCCATATATGCATAATGCATGTGTTAGTAAAATCCAGTTTTTCTATTTTTTTTTTTTTTTTTTTGAGACGGAGTTTCGCTCTTGTTACCCAGGCTGGAGTGCAATGGCGCGATCTCGGCTCACCGCAACCTCCGCCTCCTGGGTTCAGGCAATTCTCCTGCCTCAGCCTCCTGAGTAGCTGGGATTACAGGCACGTGCCACCATGCCCAGCTAATTTTTTGTATTTTTAGTAGAGACGGGGTTTCACCATGTTGACCAGGATGGTTTCGATCTCTTGACCTTGTGATCCACCCGCCTCGGCCTCCCAAAGTGCTGGGATTACAGGCTTGAGCCACCGTGCCCAGCCAGTTTTTCTATTTTTAATCTGTCTTTTGTCAGTATCATTGCCAGAGTTCCAGTCAATGAACCTAAGATGGTCTGAGAAAAAATAAAAGCTACTTCTCTTCACCAACTAAAGGAATAGTATCTGTCTCTACTACAACTACTGCTACTCTCAGTACTTCACCTCTGACACCAAGATGTATGGGATTTCTTCCCCTACAACACCTGGGTATCTTACAATTCAATTCCATTCTGACATTATCTACCTTGGGTTAGCACAAACAGCACAGGTTAAGAGCTCAGTTTCACAGACTTCCCTCACTCCCCACTTCAGATGCCAATTGCAAGTCCAGGTTGTCACATGTGCTACTGACTGACCAGCAATAAATCAGAGGTTCCCATGATCCCTTCCTCAGGTTTGATAATTTACTAAAACAACTTACAAAATTCAGAGAAACACTTTCACTTGTTTTAATTTCACCAATTTATTACAAAGGATGTAATTCAGGAACAGTCAAATGAAAGACATATAGGGCAAGTTATGGAGGCTGGGCACAGAGCTTCAGTGTTCCTTCTGGGTACACCACCCTCCCAGCATTCTGTGTTCACAGACTCAACTGTCTGCTCTCCTTTTGGGGTTTTATGGGGGTTTCGTTACGTAGACATGATCAATCACATCATTGGCAATTGGCAATTACGTCAATTTCCAGTCCCTCTCCTCTACCAAGAGGTTGGACTAAGTTCTAAACTTCTGATCACAGGATTTGTTCCTCTGGATAGATGGGTAGAAGAGAAATATTTTTTTCTTCCTTCTACCCCAGAGCTTATAAACCTTATTTAGAGAAATTGAAATAGTCATGAAACTTTTGGGGAGAAGGAAATAGAAAATAGTATATTTTATGAATTAATTCTAAGTAAAGAACAGATATGTAGTTGATTAACATTATAAGTAATAACTGATATTGCTAATGTACTCTTCCTTCCCTGCCCTCTTCTTTATTTCTTTGTGTTTCCAATCTTTGTGTGCCCTGACACCCACAGAAGAGGCAATAGGAAAACAGTCTAAACTTTTCCTCCAAGCAGCACAAGTTTAAGAACAGGAATCAGAATAAATATTTCTAATCCAAATATAACACAAGTTTGATTTCTTAGAGATTAACATGTCTTTTCTTATTTAATTCTCAAAACAACCTTGTGAGGCAGTGCATGGTAACAGTTCTGTATGGCAAGAAAGGTAGAAGAATACATTATTTTCATAGATACTGCAGTCTTCCCACAAGAAGCTGTGGTCTTCTTGGTGCTAAATTGGCTTAGGAACCAAGAAAGCTCAGTGCTCATCAACATTCTCCTAGGTAGAAACACAAAGATTCTTAGTGCACTTGCTTCTAGGATGGTATTGCAAATCTGAAGAATAAAAAAGACAGCAGTTTAGCAGTTGGCTTTTTTTGCCCACCCTGAGAGGACCCTAGCTGCATAAAGAATGACACTGGTATCTGGGTCCTCCTTAGGAAGGCAAAGGCCAGCAAAAAGCCATACATCCTCCTTCTCTGGGCTTACTTTATCACACATTTGTATCCTTGATTAAGTAAACTGGGAATTCATAGACCATAGTGTGAATGGTGGTGGGGTGTCTAGTCTCACAAGTGAAGAAACTGAGTCTTAGATTTGAGAGAATTCCCAAAATCACTGAACTAGTATATGGTAGAACTGAGATATGGACCAAGGACCATCAGATTCTAGAACTGTGGACTTCTATATCCCATGGTGTCCAGAAATGTTGGCTGATCACCCAAAATCCTTTTCTGTTTCCCTTCTCTCTAGTCACCCTCCGGTCAGGCATGGCCATGCGATGATTCTGGTCAGAGATTTAAGTAGGCTACAGGATTCTTGGAAACATGTTTGTTTTCCTGATAGGGATAACCCTCCCTTCCCCTTCTTCCTTCAATGTGATGATGAGAGATGAAATAACCATTATTCAACCATTAGGACAAGCCAAAATAATCAAAGTACCTTTAGTGCTGATGGAGTTCAGTTGTTGGACTAGCAGTGCATCTGCATTTCTCTGGGTTTCTCTTTGAAAATTATGAGTTTAAGTCACAGTAACCAGGTTTCTAACTACCACCAATTGATAAGCTCATGTAATGTCTTTTGCTGTGATGATTTTGCCTTATTAATATATGGTATTTATTTTTTTCTGTTTTTGTCTAAAACTGCTTCACTCATTCTTTATTTTTAGTGTTTCTGAGCAAATTTTATCTAGGTGTGACCCATGTAAGAAACGTTGTTGTATTTTGTTTTTCACTAAACCACTGAGAGGATTTTATATCTTAATTTTAAATCTGAGAAAAGTTTAACAGTAAGTCTGTTTCAACATCAGATAAGACTTTAGTGTATGTCACATGTGAGCCACATACTGAATATAAAACAATCTAAACATGTTTTATAAGAGAAAAATCAGTAGCATAGTGCTTCATGGGAAATTAGTTACCTATTAATTTTTTTCCTGGTCCAAATCCTTTGTAAACACGCAGATGTCCTTCACAGACCAAAGATGTTAGCTTCATTGGGCAGTTGATAATATTAAGCTGAATGACATCATTTAAAGGTGCTACTAACCTCCACTGGCAACTAAGGCATAGAGGAAACAAAGTCAAATGATTTCCAAATGAATGTTTTGTTAGTTATTTTGCTCAGAAATTAATGCATCAATGTTATTGACTCTCAGTGAGAGTTAGCTTTTGTGTTGGCTTTGTTATGGTTGTGAGAGAAAAAGATTTGTACTTTAAATCATATCAACTTTAAAATATCTAATACCTAATTTGCCAAAAATTTGTAAAGTTCATACATTTTGGTGAAAGGTTGACCAATTGTGTATATTGTTTTACATTCCGATTGAACATTTATAAGATCTGAAGGACTACATGTGCCAGAATTTGCCCCAAACTCCCACAAACCATTTTTTATCTACTATGTGCCCAAATATTTTACATAGATTTTATTAGTCTCCAACATTCTGTGTAGAGATTTGAGAAAGTACAATTTACCAACAAGAACATTCTTACATTGTTTTGTTTCCATGTTAAAGACTGTAGATGAGGGGTTACCTAAGAGTCTATTTTTTATGGAAAAGAAGTGAAGAATAATATTTTAAGCAAATACCAAATGTTTAGGTCAGTCAACTGATTTTTCCACACACTTATTCCATTGCAATAAACATCCCTTCCTTACCTCACAGTAGTTCTGTGAGAATTTCTTAGGATCTGCATGATCCCTGCTGGCTTAGTCAGAAGAACATTCTCACAAGGGACCAAATGCTCTCTGTTTGAACTTTGGGGAAGTCTGGTTATTTTACTGACTTTTGGACCTAGAAGAACAGGAAGCAGAAAAAATGAGAAACTTTTTTTTCCATTTTCTTTTTTTTTTTTTTTAATTGTACTTTAGGTTCTGGGGTACATGTACAGATCATGCAGGATTGTTGCATAGGTACACACATGGCAATGTGGTTTGCTGCCTGCATCCCCCCATCACCTACATCTGGCATTTCTCCCCATGTTATCCCTCCCTGATATCCCCACCTACCCTGCTGTCTCTCCCTTGGCTCCCCCAGTAGACCCCAGTGTGTGATGCTCCCCTCCCTGTGCCCATGTGTTTTCATTGTTCATCACCCCGCTATGAGCGAGAACATGTGGTGTTTGATTTTCTGTTCTTGTGTCAGTTTGAGAATGATGGTTTGCAGATTCATCCATGTCCCTACAAAGGACACAAACTCATCATTTTTTATGGGTGTGTAGTATTCCATGGTGTATATGTGCCATATTTTTCTTGTCTATCATAGATGGGCATTTGGGTTGGTTCAAGGTCTTTGCTATTGTAAACAGTGCCGCTATGAACATAGGTGTGTATGTGTCTTTATAATAGAATGATTTATAATCCTTTGGGTATATGCCCAGTAACAGGTTTGCTGGGTCAAATGGAATTTCTATTTCTAGGTCCTTAAGAAAGTGTCACACTGTCTTCAACAATGGTTGAACTAGTTTACACTCTCACCAACAGTGTAAAGTGTTCCTGTTTATCCACATCCTCTCCAGCATCAGTTGTCTACAGATTTTTAAACCACCATTCTAACTGGCATGAGGTGGTATCTCAATGTGGTTTTGATTTGGATTTCTCTAACAATCAGTGATGATGAGCATTTTTTCATATGTATGTTGGCCTTATATATGTCTTCCTTTGAAAAGTATCTGTTCATATCCTTCTCCCACTTTTGGATGGGTTTGTTTTTTTCTTGTAAATCTGTTTTAGATCTTTGTAGATCCTGGATATTAGCCCTTTGTCAGATGGGTAGATTACAAAAATTTTTTCCCATTCTGTTGGTTGCTAGTCCACTCTAATGATTGTTTCTTTTGCTGTACAGATGCTCAGGAGTTTAATTAGGTCTGATTTGTCTATTTTGGCTTTTGTTGCCAATTCTTTTGGTGTTTTGGTCATGAAGTTCTTGCCTATGCCTGTCCTGAATGGTTTTGTCTAGGTTTTCTTCTAGGGTGTTTATGATGTTAGGTCTTTTGTTTAAGTCTTTAATCCATCTGGAGTTAATTTTAGTGTAAGGTGTCAGGAAGGGGTCCAGTTTCTGCTTTCTGCACACTGCTAACCAGTTTTCCCAACACCATTTATTAAACAGGGAGTCGTTTCCCCATTGCTTGCTTTTTTCAGGTTTGTCAAACATCAGATGATTGTAGATGTGTGACATTGCCTCCAGGGCCTCTGCTCTGTTCCATTGGTTTATATCTCTGTTTTGGTACCAGTACCATGCTTTTTGGTTACTATAGCCTTGTAGTATAGTCTGAAATCAGGTAGCATGATGCCTTCAGCTTTGTTCTTTTTGCTTAGGATTGTCTTGGCTATGCGAGCTCTCTTTTGGTTCCATATGAAGTTTAAGGTGTTTTTTTTTCCAGTTGTGTGAAGAAGGTCATTGGTAGTTTGATGGGGATAGCATTGAATCTATAAATTACTTTGGGCACTATGGCCATTTTCATGATATTGATTCATCCTAACCATGAACATGGAATGTTTCTCCATCTGTTTGCATCCCCTCTTATTTCCTTGAGCAGTGGTTTGTGGTTCTCCTTGAAGAGTTCCTTAAACATCCTTTGTTAGTTGTATTCCTAGGTATTTTTCTCTTTTTATAGCAATTGTGAATGGGAGTTTGCTCATGATTTGGCTCTCTGTTAGTCTGTTATTGGTATATAGGAATGCTTGTGATTTTTGCACATTGATTTTGTATCTGGAGACTGCTGAAGTTGCTTATCAGTTTCAGTTGATTTTGGACTGAGAAAATAGAGTCTTCTAAATACACAACCATGTCATCTGCAAATAGAGACAATTTGACTTCCTCCTTTCCTAATTGAATGCCCCTTCTTTTTCTTACCTGATTGCTCTGGCTAGAACTTCCAATACTATATTGAATAGGAGTGGTAAGAGAGAGCATCCTAGTGCCAGATTTCAAAGGGAATGCTTCCAGTTTTTGCCCATTCAGTATGATATTGGCTGTGGGTTTGTTGTAAATAGCTTTTATTATTTTGAGATGCATTCCATTGATACGTAGTTTATTGAGAGTTTTTAGCATACAGGGCTGTTGAATTTTGTCGAAAGCCTTCTCTGCATCAATTGAGATAATCGTGTGGTTTTTGTGTTTGGTTCTGTTTATGAGGCAGATTATGTTTACAGACTTGCATATGTTGAACCAGCTTTTCATCCCCAGGATAAAGCCTAGTTGATCATAATGGATAAGTTTTTTGATGGGCTGTTGCAGTTGGTGGGCCAGTATTTTATTGAAGATTTTTGTGTCTATGTTCATCATAGATATTGGCCTGAAGTTCTCTTTTTTTGTTGTTGAGTCTCTGCCGAGTTTTGGTATCAGGATGATGCTGGTCTCATAAAATGATTTGGGAAGGATTCCCTGCTTTTGGATTGTTTGGAATAGTTTCAGAAGGAATGGTACCAGCTCCTCTTTGTATGTCTAGTAGAATTCAGCTGTGAACCCATCTAGACATAGATTTTTTTTGGTTGTTAGGCTGTTAATTGCTGCCTCAGCTTCAGCCCTTGTTATTGGTCTGTTCAAGATTTCAACTTCTTCCTGGTTTAGGCTTGGGAGGCTTCAGGTATCCAGGAATTTATCCATTTCTTCCAGGTATACCGGTTTATGTGCATAGAGTTGTTTGTAGTAATCTCTGATTGTAGTTTGTATTTCTGTAGAATCAGTGGTGATATCCCCTTTATTGCTTTTTATTGCATCTATTTGATTCTTCTCCCTTTTCTTTTTTATTAATCTGGCTAGTGGTCTATTTTGTTGATCTTTTCAAAAAACCAGCTCCTGGATTTATTGATTTTTTTGAAGAGTTTTTTGTGTGTCTGTCTCCTTCAGTTCTGCTCTTTGTTATTTCTTGTCTTATGCAAGCTTTTTTTTTTTTTTTCTTTTTATCTTGCTCCTCTAGCTCTTTCAATTTTGACAATAGTGTCATTTCCTCATTTCTCATGTGGGTATTTATTGCTATAAATTTCCCTCTAGACACTGCTTTAAATGTGTCCCAGAGATGCTGGTACATTTTGTCTTCATTTTTATTGGTTGCAAAGAACATCTTTATTTCTGCCTTCATTTTATTGTTTATCCAGTGGACATTCAGGAGCTAGTTGTTCAGTTTCCATAAAACTGTGCAGTTCTGAGTTAGTTTCTTAATTCTGAATTCTAATTTGATTGCCCTGTGGTCTGAGATAGTGTTTGTTATGATTTTCATTCTTTTGCATTTGCTGAGGAGTGATTTACTTCCAATTATGTGGTCAATTTTAGAGTAGGTGTGATGTGGGGCTGAGAAGAATGTATATTCTGTGGATTTGGGGTGGAGATTTTTGTCGACGTCTATTAGGTCCTTTTGGTCCAGATCTGAGTTTAAGTCTTGGATATCTTTGTTAATTTTCTGTCTCGTTGATCTGTCTGATTTTGACAGTGGGGTGTTGAAGTCTCCCACTATTATTGTTTGGGAGTCTAAGTCTCTTTATAGGTCATTAAGAACTTGCTTTATGTACCTGGGTGCTCCTGCATTGCATGTGTATATATTTGGAATCATTAGCTCTTCTTGATGCATTTTTATCCTTTTACCATTATGTAATGCCCTTCTTTGTCTCTTTTGATCTTTGTTGGTTTAAAGTCCATTTTATCAGAGACTAGGATTGCATCCCCTGCTTTATTTATTTATTTTTCTCTCCATTTGGTTGGTAAATCTTCCTCCATCTCTTTATTTTGAGCCTATGTGTGTCCTTGCACATGAGATGGATTTCCTGGATACAGCAAAGTGATGGGTCTTGACTTTTTATCCAATTTGCCAGTCTGTGTCTTTGATTGAGGCATTTAGCCCATTTTCATTTAAGGTTAATATGGTTATGTGTGATTTTGATCCTGCCCTTTTGATGCTAGCTGGATGTTTTGCCTGTTGGCTGACACATTTGTTTTCATCATGTCGATGGTCTCTACCATTTGGTACGTTTTTGTAGTGGCTGGTACCGGTTGTTTCTTTCCTTGTTTAGTGCCTTCAGAGCTCTTGTAAGGCAGGCCTGCTGGTGACAAAATCTCTCAGCAATTGCTTGTCCATAAAGGATTTTCTTTCTGCTTTGCTTATGCAAAGCTTAGTTTGGTTGGATATGAAATTCTAGGTTGAAAGTCCTTTTCTGTAATGATATTGAATATTGGCCCCCCCTCTCTTCTGACAGAAGGGTTTCTGCTGGGTGATCCACCATGAGTCTGATGGGCTTTCCTTTGTGGGTAACCTGACCTTTTTCTCTAGCTGCCCTTAGCATTTTTTTCCTTCATTTCAACCCTGGTGAATTTGATGATTATGTGCCTTGGGGTTGCTCTTCTTGAGGAATATCTCTGTGGTGTTCTCTGTATTTCCTGGACTTGAATGGTGGCATGGCTTGCTAGGTTGGGGAGGTTCTCCTGGATAATATCCTGAAGAGTGTTTTCCAGCTTGGATTCATTCTCTCAGTCACATTCAGCTACACCTGTTAAACGTAGATTAGGTCTTTTTACATAATCCCCTGTTTCTTGGAGGCATTGTTCCTTTCTTTTCACTCTTTTTTCTATATTCTTGCCGCCTTGTTTTATTTCATTGAGTTGATCTTCAATCTATGATATCCTTTCTTCTGCTTGATCAGTTTGGCTATTGAGACTTGTGTATGCTTCTTGAAGTTCTTGTGCCGTGTATTTCAGCTCCATCAAGTCGTTTGTATTCTTCTCTAAGCTTCTTATTCTAGATAGCATCTCATTTAACCTTTTTTCTAGGTTCTTAGTTTCTTCGCATTGGGTTAGCACATCTTCTTTTAGCTCTGAGAAGTTTGTTATTACCCACCTTATGAAGCCTGTTTCTGTCAGTTCATCAGATTCATTCTCCATCCATCTTTGATCCCTAGCTGGTGAGGAGTTGTGATCCCTTGGAGGAGGAGAGGTCTTCTGGTTTTTGGTGTTTTCATCCTTTTTGCACTAGTTTCTTCCCATCTTAGTGGCTTTATCTACCTGTGGTCTTGGTAGTTGGTGACTTTCAGATGTGGTCTCTGAGTGGCATCCTTTTGGTTGATGATGAGGTTATTTCTTTCTTAGTTTTACTTCTAATAGGCCCCTCTGCTGCAGGACTGCTGGAGGTCCACTTCAGACCCTGCTTACCTGGGGATCACCTATGGGGGCTGTAGAACAGTAAGGGTTGCTGCCAGTTTCTTCATCTGTTACCTTGTCCCAGAAGGGTACCTGCCAGATGTCAGCCTGAGCTCTCCTTTATGAGGTGTCCCTTTGGGTATGTGGGGGTCAGCAAGCTGCTTGAGGAGATAGTCTATCCCTTATATGAGCTCAAGTGCTATAGTGGGAGCTCCATTGTTCTGTGCAGAAATGCTGGGTAGGTGCTTTTAAGTCTACTGCAGTGGAACTCATAACCACCTCTTTTCACAGTGCTCTGTGCTAGGAAGGTCAGCTTTATTTATAAGTTCCTATCATGCTGCTTCCTTTTTTCATATATACCCTGCTCTGCATGGGGTAGTCTAGTTAGTCTGTCAGCAGAGGTGTTGCTAAGCTGCCACAGGCTCTTTCCAGCTGCTGTACTAACTGCCTCAGTAGTGGCGGACTGCCTTGGTAGTGGGGATTGCCTTTCCCCCCAGTGGGCTGGACTGTCCTGGATCCAGCTGAGCTTGCTGTGAAACTCTTAATCCAGAGCATTTCAGATTGCTTTTCTTGTGGTGCTCGTACCTGCAAAGCCATTTTGCCTGGCTCTCTGTCTCTGCACCCTCCCTTTCAGTTGAATGGGAGGCTCTGTCTCCCAGGTGTTTGATGCGCCAGTTGAAATGGCTGCCCAGATTTGTGTGATTTTCTGTGCACCAAGCTGGCATCAGCTGGAACTGCCATGCTGAAAACGTGGCACTTTTTGGCTCAGGAATCTCCTGGTCTTTGGGCAGTGAAAATTTTTTTGGAAATGTGGTAGGCAGTCACCCTCTGCATTGTTCTTGCTGTGAACTACACTCCAGAGCTGTTCCTTTTGGCCATCTTGGATTGTCCCCACTAAAACCAATTTTTAAAGGCTTCCTATAGCCTTTTCAGATCAAATAAGCAGCTGTATTCCCTAATTGTCCTAGGAAAGCAAGTAATTATTGGGAGGTGGTTGTTTCACTGAAAAATCCCTCTATCTTAAATAGTCAAAAGATGTAGGAAACAAGTACATCTCCCAGAATGATCTCTGACATAGTGTTGGTTCTATAAAAGATTATAGGGAACAACTTTAGAGAATACCTGTTAACTGTCTAATTCCACTGAAGGCAGCATTGTTAATATATTCTTCCAAGAGAAAATTTTCATATGATACAAATATTTTATTACTCATTTAACTTTTTCCAAAGGTACAGTATACACAGGTCTAGAGAAATTATATTATCAGCAATGCTTTTAGGTGTCAAGGGGGAAAACTAGCTTTCAGTTTTCTAGATCAAGAATAAAAAAATCTTAACTATTATTACATGTTCCAGAGTTCAATCTGAGAACTCTGAATTACATCATTTACACTTATAGTGCTAGAATCTAATATTTGTGTGGTTTTTAAAACTTATCCTAATCTCTTATGATATCACTACAAAGAAAATTCTAATCAGCCAGGTAAGATTCAGAATCCAAATCTTCTGAGCCACAAGAATTACTGCTGCAGAAAACATTCTTTGTGGTATAAAATCGCAACCACAGTCAAAAGTTATCTTGCAACCAATGTTATCTTTGCCATTTTCAGAAATCATATACAATTCAATCAAGTTATCCATTGAGCAGTTTCCCTTTTGAACCTGATCAAATATTAGATGACTTAAATATATTTTGCTTTCAAAAATGTACTTATTTCCCCACAGAAACATAATTTCTTTCAAAATGCTGTATACATTTAAAATAGTCCTAAATGCAGTAGTAGTATTTTTTTTAACCTTTACAAGTTTATAAAATAACCAAATACCTAGGACTTGGAAGACAATACAGCTTATGCCAAATGCACCTTGTACAAGGGAATGGAATGTCACCCTCACCAGCGGTCCAGGACTCATGAAAGTCATTGGGTAAAGTCTTCTCCCACATAATCCACCTAGATTAAAAAGGTGAACTCTAGTAAAAAATAAGAATGCAAATTTTAGAGCAGTTTCTATATTTTAGGCAGAGCACTTAATTTAACCCACAAGTTAGGAATTGATTCTATTCTGTAAAATGAGGAAACAGGACTCCAGAACACAAGTGACTCACTCAAAGTCACAAACTAGCAGGGTGGGAAGCTAGGGTCTTTACCTTGGGTCCTTGTATCTGATACCCATCATAATCTGCTCTGTCACAGCACTTCCTGAAGGACAGTAGTAGTAAATTATTTTATCTTTAAAATGAATGTTGTGCCCTTTTTCTCCTAGAAAAGTAACCTACTTATTAAAAATATCTCACCATGAAGATCTATGATGGAAAAAATGTCTCCTTGAAAATTTATTATTTCCCTATAGTCAGTCTTCTATTGATTGCTCTGAGAACCTAAGTCAAAGACAGAGGGGAAAATTATAATCATAATTCTAAAATGATTCAGAGAGATGATTAAGCATGTGTGGAAAGAACCTGTGAATTTCTTAGGATCAAACTCTTCTACATTAAGAATAATTCAGTATCATTTTGTGATATTTATTTAAATATCTGCTCAGAAAGACATCTGCTGATTGTACTACATACAACTATGTGGCACCTATATCTGAGGTACTTCTTTTCTTCTTAGTTCTTTCATCTAAGATAGATAGCATAGATTTAACTTATTATGTATCTTTTCTCTGCTAGAATATAAGCTTGATAAGGGCAGAAAATTTTATTTTTTTTATTACTGGATCATCAGAACCAAGATGACTCAGTCCCTGGCCGATAGTAGGTATTTCACAAATATTTGTAGGGATGAAAGGAGGGAGTGATTAGAGCCAAGAAAGAGAAAAGAAAAAGCATTTGTTAGTATTTTACCACCATATACTTTAAAATGCCATGTGAAGAATGACCTAATATTTATTTGTAGCAAATAGAAGTGAATGTAACTTTTAAATGAATTGCTACTTTTAACAAGGAGAAACAGCATTTTACAGTAAAGAATGCTATACAACTTAAGTAAAGGGTAAAATTTCCATTACAGTCTTGCTGTTCTGCTAGCTATAATCTGAAGGAACAGGGCAATTCCACAAGGTTCAAGCTAACTGTTTCTAAAATTAAAGAAATCTTAGGTTGGAAAATTATAGGGCTTCCTCAGTTAATCTACAATGAAGTCAAGCATGGTTTTCAATAGGCAATAATGATAAAGTCAAGTTTCCCCAGAAAATGGGTCTCTCTATATACAAATATAAGATATTATAGAAGTAGTGCTATCAATGGGGGGGGGGAAGACTTTTTTAAAAAGGAAGCAAGTGTGGAGTCACTTTACCATATGAGAAAATATATTTCAGCATGATTTTAAAAGTTTTTTTAAAATTGGATTCTGACCTCAGAATGGAGAATGAATTTTTAAGCATGAAAGCAATGAGATAAAATTCAAAGATCAAAGATGTGTATGGATAGATTTAAACAAATAAATTAAAAATTTTATATTAATATAATAACACAAAGGCAAATGACAATACTAAGAATAAGGATTAAGAATAAATTAGGGCCGGGCGCGGTGGCTCAAGCCTGTAATCCCAGCACTTTGGGAGGCCGCGGCGGGTGGATCACGAGGTCGAGAGATCGAGACCATCCTGGTCAACATGGTGAAACCCCGTCTCTACTAAAAGTGCAAAAAATTAGCTGGGCATGGTGGCACGTGCCTGTAATCCCAGCTACTCAGGAGGCTGAGGCAGGAGAATTGCCTGAGCCCAGGAGGCGGAGGTTGCGGTGAGCCGAGATCGCGCCATTGCACTCCAGCCTGGGTAACAAGGGCGAAACTCCGTCTCAAAAAAAAAAAAAAAAGAAAAAAAGAAAAAAAGAATAAATTAATGGGCCAGGCATGGTGGCTCAAGCCTGTAATCCCAGCACTTTGGGAGGCCGAGGCGGGCGGATCATGAGGTCAAGAGATCGAGACCATCCTGGCCAACATGGTGAAACCCTGTCTCTACCAAAAAATTACAAAAATTAGCTGGGCGTGGTGGTGTGCACCTGTAGTTCCAGCTACTTGGGAGGCTGAGGCAGGAGAATTGCTTGAACCTGGGAGGTGGAGGTTGCAGTGAGCCAAGATTTTGCCACTGCACTGCAGCCTGGCACCTGGCAACAAAGTGAGACTGTGTCTCAAAAAAGTAAATAAATAAAATAATAAAAAGAATAAATTAATGACAAGAAAATCATTAAGGATAAACATAATGAGAACATTAAGAATTAGCATTAAGAATAAATGTGATAAAGGAAAAATATCTTTGTATTATAAAGCAATAAAAAGAATACTCAAATTTTAAAAATAAAAGATAATGGCAATTTTTTAAAAAACAAGCTGTACACAGTAGCACATGCCAGGTATTTGGGAAGCTGAGCTAGGAGACTCTTTTGAGCCCAGGAATTCAAGGCCAGCCTGGGCAACCTAGGCAGACAATGTTTTAAGACAAATAAAAACAAAAGCAAAAAAGAAATTATTTCCATTAATGATTACTTTTAAAGGAAAATTCCCTATTAAATTGACATCTTAGGTTTTGGGCATGGTGAAAGACGATCCTAGGCACTGCTAATGGTAGTGAAAATTAAGATACCCTTTCTGAAGAGTAATTTAACAAATCTTCACACAAAAAACAAACTCAGCATAAATGTATGAAAAGGAAAGTATTCTAAGTTCTTAGGTGTTGACCTCATTTTGAAGTATAGAGAAAGGAACAGATGGCAAGGTCTCTGCTCTCATGAATCTTTCATTTTAGGTAAATGAAGATGGTTTCATAGATCAAAGCTACTGATGAAATGAAAGCCAATGTAACAGACAATGACTGTGGGAAGGAATGGAAGATGCTACTTGAGACTGAAGAGCCCTCTTTGAGGAGGTGACTATTCTCTTGTTCACTTATTTATGAAGTGTCTTCTATATGTCAGGCATGCTCTAGGCACCAGGACTTCTTGATATAAACAGGCAAAAGTTACAGCTCTCATGAAACTCACATTCAATAGGGAAGACACAGATAAATCATAATCATGGAAAAAAATCATAATGTGTTAGATTCTAACCTTTTAAGCCAGGATCCCAAACTTTTTGGCACCAGGAACCAGGTTTGTGGAAGACTAATTTTCCACAAACAGTGGGAGGGATGGTTTTGGGATGAAACTGTTCCATCTCAGATCATCAGGCATTAGATTCTTATAAGGAGCACACATCCTAGATCCCTCATATGTGCAGTTTACATTCCTATGAGAACCTAATGCTGCCACTGATCAACAGGAGGCAAAGTTCAGGTGATAATGCTTGTCCATTGCTCACCTCCTGGTGGGTGTCTCAGTTCCTAACAGGCCATAAGTTGGTACTGGGTTGGAGACCCCAGTGTTAGAAGATAATAACTGCTCTAAGTAAAGGGAACTGAGAAGTATGGAAGCAGGGGTGTGATGCAACTTACATCAGTCAAGGTTGGTCTCATTAAGAAGGTAACATTCTATCAATAATTGAAGGACATAAAGCATGAGGATGAGAAAGAGCTCTTTGAAGTGCTGGAAATAGACAGATAATGGCCCTAAGGTGAGAATGAGAGGTATTGGGAGCCATGAGCTGATGGAGGAGAAGGACTCTTCCAGGGAGTGTGAATTTTATTCCAGGTGCAAGAAGCCCTGAAACAGTTTTAATCTAGGGGGATGAAGGAGGTGATCTGATTCTAGGGGGAAAATGTGCCAAGCGAACAGGCTAATTAATCGTGTCACTGTGGTCTAAATTAGATTATACAGTTGTGAATGGGAGTTCATTCATGATTTGGCTCTCTGTTTGTCTCTTACTGGTGTATAGGAATGCTTGTGAAAAAAGAGCCTGGATAGCCAAGACAATCCTAAGCTAAAAGAACAAAGCTGGAGGCATAAAAACCCTAGAAGAAAACCTAGGCAATACCATTCAGGACATAGGCATGGGCAAAGATTTCATAACTAAAATACCAAAAGCAGTGGCAACAAAATAGCCAAAATAGACAGATGGGATCTAATTAAATTAAAGAGCTTCTGCACAGCAAAAGAAACTATCATCAGAGTGAATAGGCAACCTACAAAATGAGAGAAAATTTTTGCAATCTAACCATCAGACAAAGGACTAATATCCAGAATCTAAAAGGAACTTAAACAAATTTACAAGAAAAAACATCCCTATCAAAAAGTCGTTGAAGGATATGAACAGAAGACATTTATGTGAACAACAAACATGAAAAAAAAAGCTCATCATCGCTGGTCATTAGAGAAACGCAAATCAAAACCACAACGAGATGCCATCTAATGCCAGTTAGAATGGCGAACATTAAGAAGTTAGGAAACAACAGATACTAGAGAGGATGGGGAGAAGCAGGACACTGTTGGTGGGAGTGTAAATTAGTTCAGCATTGTGGAAGACAATGTGGTAATTCCTCAAGGATCTAGAACTAGAAATACCATTTGACCCAGCAATCCCATTACTGAGTATATACCCTAAGGATTATAAATCATTCTACTGTAAAAACACATGCACGCATGTTTATTACAGCACTATTTACAATAGCAAAGACTGGACTTGGAACCAACCCAAATGTCCATCGATGATAGACTGGAAAAAGAAAGTGTGGCACATATACACCATGAATACTCTGAAGCCCTAAAAAAGGATGAGTTCATGTCCTTTGCAGGGACATGAATGAAGCTGGAAATCATCATTCTCAGCAAACTGACACAGGAACAGAAAATGAAACACCTCATATTCTCACTCATAAGTGGGAGTTGAACAACGAGAACACGAGGGCTGTGGGAGGGATAGCATTAGGAGAAATACCTAATGTAGATGACACAGGTTGATGGGTGTAGCAAACTACCATGGTACACGTATACCTACGTAACAAACCTGCACATTTTGCACATGTATCCCAGAACTTAAAGCATAATTTTTTAAAAGAAGAAAATGTTAAGGTTGCTTACAAGGGAAAAAGCATTCCTATTACATGGATCAAGGTTTTGGTGGCATTATTACCAAGTCAGACTCACTCCTGATCATAAGCTGCCTACATAGACAAGACTCCTAGCACCAAGTTTATATGTCAGGAAGGATTACCTGCCATCTTTCTCTTCCTGGGTCTGTCTTCATAAATAATTAGAACTGAGTTTCGACACACAGGAGACCCCAGGAGTGACAGATACTCGATGGTAAATTTCACTATACTGCTTGGAGAAACTCGGAGCACCCAAGAACATTCCAGTCTTCTGCTGTAATTCAGTGGATATTGTGGAATGGGAAAAAATCCTCTGAGCTTTTCTTGCTCTGCTTCAGAGCAACAACCTGCAATTCAGAACACATAGACACCAGGGACCAACATAAACAAGACAAAGTAAAAAAAAGTTCTGTCACAAGACTGAAAAACCTAGGCTTGCAAGAAGAAAGTTGAGACTTTGTTTCTGTCAGTTACAAATTATTCTGTTAAAAAAAATCCATTTAATGTGTATTATTTTCTTGAAATAATATTATAGAGGTAGAATTTATATCCCAATTATCTTGAATTAATTTTTAGTGAATTTTTTTAAGTTTCTTAGAAAATACACAGTTCCCAGCAGGTTTTCACTTCTTTCCTTCTTTGCGATGCACCTGAAGACCTGTTCCTAAAAGCTTCACTAAATTAGCTGAGCTTGCTGGGACAAATAATCACATTCATTTGAACTTGTGACTGAGGTCATGAAAAAGATCATTTGCTGGCTATATTGAGATGTCTCACTTCTTCAGCTTGCTAAGTCCAAGGCCTCCTTTGGACCTTCAGGATACCTGCTTTAGTTTGGATGCCAGTTTTTTCCTGACCCACTGACTCAGCAACCATCTTCTCTACGTCCTCATCTGGGCTTCATCCTTAACTCTCTCTTCTTCCTTTATGTCTATTGCTTTGACAAAAACTTTCTGAGAAATTAAAAAGAAATATTCTATGTTCATATTTTAATATATGTATTAGTGAATACATACATTACTATGCATGGTCTGTCCTAGAGGAATTAAGTCAGTAACTGAGAAGGAGGTACATAAACATAAACATTCTCCTGCTTTTATTAACAGGAGAAGTAAACAGTGGAATAAGGGAAATGAAGTGGTACAAAACTTTAGCATTCTACTCCATTGTTTGGTTCTCTGCCATTTCTTTGTTAGTCCTCTTTTTTATCTGTATGGCTACAAGAATCTAATCAGATATTTACTGTTTTGATATAATAGTAAACTAAATGATCATTCAGTCTATAATCTTCCCTCACTATGCCCAACCAACTGGGAATGGTGTATAAAACAAAAAAAATCAAGTTGTTTTCCTGCTGAAAGCAACTAACGTAGTCCAGTTTGCAAGATCTTTCCATCTGGCCCCAACCTGTCTTTCTAATCTTTTTAGTTTTTCTCCCTCTCTATAGGAATCCTCTGTGACAAATCTGACTGGAAATCACATAGAGCCATGAATTACCAACAAGTTAAGACTTTTTATAAATGGGAGTAACAATCTGAAGAAAGCATTGCTAAGATTCATTAATTCCCCAGTGTAAAAAGTAAGCAGCAGGAGTGGGTGGGTGTTAAATGTGGCATGGTCCTAACAATTTGTCACCTAAAATAATCAAAGAATGAAAACAAAGCAACACCCTTTCGTATATAAAACTTTCAAAGTTACTTGGCATGCATAACTATTTCTGAATATACATAAAGGAGAAACAATTTCTTTACATTTTAACAATGTTCTTTTGTTTGCTTTGAGATGGACTCGCACTGTCACCCAGGCTGGAGTGCAATGATGCGATCTCGGCTCACTGCAGCCTCCACCTCCTGGGTTCACGTGATTCTCCTGCTTCAGCCTCCCATGTAGCTGGGCTTGCAGGCACACACCACTACACTCAGCTATTTTTTTGTATTTTTAGTACAGACAGGGTTTCACTGTATTGGCCAGACTGGTCTCAGATTCCTGACCTTGGGACCTGCCAGCCTTGGTCTCGCAAGGTTCTGGGATTACAGCCATGAACAACTGCACCCGGCCACAGTGTTCATTTTCTAACAGCCTGATTGAGATCATTCAAAAAAATACATTAGAGGGCACTGTCATCACCATTTATGGACCCTTATCTCGGATCAGACCCTCCTTGTTCTAAGTGCATTCATAGATTAACCTATTTAGGCACTCACTGAATTCATTCATTTAACTCAGTCCATTGAAATCAATAGTTTTTAGGATCTTGGACCCAAGTCCTCTCTCTGCCTCAATCCCAAGTCCAGATTTACTTTTAACCTACTCTACATATCTTTTACTCTTTGACTCATGTTGCCAGACAAATGGTCCTGGGTCCACTCCTCATTCCCGGAAGGTTTTAGCAGTCATTTTCTCCAACACTTTTGTCATAGTTCTTTCTGATTTCAATCACTATACACATGATGATTCCAGCACTGAAGTTTTTAGCTCCTCAACTTTCCTCCAATGATCTTGTCTTGCACCTGACCTCAGACACTTATCCTTATGCTCAGCCCTTAGACACTTGATCATTAGCAGTAACTTGAAGCCTTCTGTAATCTCAGTTTCAGGAACCATTTTCTCCAACCACAATCTTCCATCTTTTCAGCCTCCCTTAATACTCCTTCCACCTTTTGGGACCATAATTTACCTATTCTACCATGTTACCTTTGTCCCAAACAAATCTCTCATCGTTATTTCACTTCTTACCTATCCTAAATTCCAATGATCCATCATTTCAACCACTTCTTCACATACAGTTTGAATTCCCTTACCCTCACATACTTGGGAACACTCCACTTTGATTAAATCCATGCTTCACCTACTCTGCACCTCAGTGTCTCCAGAGGAAAACATACAACTAAGCTAACTGGGGGTGTTCTGCTCCCTTCTCTCAGTTTATGATCATACATCTCAGGGGGCCTTTATGCTCCCCAGCAATCCTACTATATCTTTCTATTCACTATGGCATTTTCTAGAACAACATTTCAACCTTTTTTCTCCTAAAAATCAAACTTTCTTGCACAACCCCTCCTTTCATCTGCTAAAAATAAAAGAAGCAATCAATCAGAAGAGAAATTCCACAAGCTCCAATCCAATCCTCACCTATACCCATGCACCTCCTCCTGCATGGGGACCTCAAGACCCTGCCTTCCATTCATAGATGAAGTGTACTTTGCTCCTGTCTAAGACCATCCCCTCCCTTTGGGCACTAGATCCCATCTTCTTTCTTCTACTCAAAGTCATCACTCTGGCAATTCTACTTTTTATCTTACATTTTCTTTCAACTCTTCCTAGTTGTGTACTAGGGTTGAGTATATCGGGGAAGGGTAAAACGTGGGTAACGAAGGAGACTGACCATTTGAAAACCAAGAGTGATAATAAAATAGAACTTCGAGCCAGGTGCGGTGGCTCATGCCTATAATCTCAGCACTTCAGGAGGCCAAGGCAGGCAGATCATGAGGTCAGGAGATGGAGGCCATCCTGGCTAACACAGTGAAACCCTGTCTCTACTAAAAATATGGAAAATTAGCCAGCGTCGTGGTGGGCGCCTGTAATCCCAGCTACTCTGGAGGCTGAGGCAGGAGAATTGCTTGAGCCCAGGAGACAGAGTTGCTGTGAGCTGAGATTGCACCACTGCACTCCAGCCTGGGTGACAGAGCAAGACTCTGTCTCTAAATAAATGAATAAATAAATAAAATAGAATTTCCATCTTTCTGCAATGTCTGTTACAGATTTCTAATCCTCCAGTTGCTGTTGTTTTAGACTAAAAATCAAATCCTATTATCAAACAAACAGTGGGAACTGTGGAAGAATTAAGAAAAATTCTAATGCTGATACCAGTCTTGGTCATCTCCTACCCAGAGTCTTTACCTAGCAAGATACTTGCATACAGAAGGACTTTGGTTCAAGTAGAAGTAAACAGCTCAGAGTTTAAAATAATTGTGTGTAATTCTGCAATATTCAAGCACTTGTTCACAAGATTTTTTTAAAAACCTGCAACAGGTCTAGCTTTGGGTTGGAAATGATCTCCAGCAATCATAGTAACTACCCCCAATTTCAGCAAAAACTACCAACCAGAAGGAAAACACAGAGGTTATAGTGTACCACAGAAAATTTAGCAAAGTTAGATAGGCAAAGCTTTTTGCCAAATTCTTGCTGAAAGTATTAATGGGATAATGCGAACGTTTATTACCTGGCCAAGATGCACTGTCTGGTGAAGGTGTGGGCGGTGGCAATTGTTTTAAGGTTTTGCACTTATTTGTCTGAAGTGAAGCAGGATCTGTATTTGGGGAGAACATGTTAAAAATAAAGATGAAAGCCTAAGGACAAAATATAGTTGGCATCAAAACAGCCACTACCAAAAGAAATCCAGGATTAAGGCAGCTTTGGGAAAAGTTGGTTTTACTCTAACTCTACAAATGAGAGAACTTATTTTTGCAGAATCTTGGGTTTTAGTGTGTTTAGTAACTAAATGAAATTCTACTCTATGGTTTTCTCTTTCATGAGAATTTATACCACACTCACTGTTCCCAAACCCACTCTAAAGAAAGAGGTATTGTTTTAGTAACATCTGAAAACAATTTACCATTGATTTTGGAGTGGATCCAGTCCAAGAAGACCATCACTCTGGCAAATATACCCGGCTTCCATGGCTGGACACAGCCAGCTCCCCAGCTCACAATGCCATAGAGGACAAAGGGACCATTTTCATGTCTACATACTAGTGGTCCACCAGAGTCTCCCTGAAACATCAAGAAAACATGTTCCAGAAAACTGCTTTAATCTAAAGCTCCTGCTTAGAAGAAAAATAACAATATATTTGTAATTTGTTTAATTTCTTAAAAATTTGGTCTTTGTCAATTTGTATCTTTACATACTATGTATTCACTGTTTTGCAAAAGGAAACAAAATTTATGAACAATCAGATGGTAACTGCATTCCAGGGTGAAGAAAAAGCCTAGTTCACATAATGAGAAAACAATTACTAAGTCTTCCCAGCCCCATCAGAAGGGCATAGTCTTTAAATGATATCAATTAGTAAAACTGTAATATTTAAGATTTCAAGCTACATCTTTTTAAAATAAAAATTTAATTAGAAAACTGCACAGTGCTCAAATGAATTCAACACAAGAAATGGGCTGCCCCCCCCCTTTTTTTTTTTTTTTTTTTTTTTGGAAATTGGGTTAGGATCATTGGGTGATAAACTCTATAGGTAATGTTTTCCCTATCACTGGTCAATCTTGACACAATCTATTCAGATCAAAGTGTAGAGTTACAACATACAGAGAAACTAGGGTATTGATGGTGAGGTGAAAAAAAACCTAGAAGTTGATTTGTATCTATTAAAAGATATTCATGGCTTGGTGTGGTGGCTCACCCTTGTAATCTCAGCACTTTGGGAGGCTGAGGTGGGTGGATCATGAGGTCAGTAGTTTGAAATCAGCCTGACCAACATGGTGAAACCCCATCTCTACTAAAAATACAAAAATTAGTCAGGTGTGGTGGTGCACCTGTCCAGCTACTCAGGAGGTGGAGGCAGGAGAATCGCTTGAACCTGGGAGGTGGAAGTTGTAGTGAGTTGAGATGACACCACTGCACTACAGCCTGGGTGACAGAGCAAAACTCTCTCTCAAAAAAAGTATTTCAATTCTAGTATTACATTTTATTTTTGCTTACTTGCAGATTCCAAAGCTACACAATTTCAAAAAATTTAAAGGCCAAGCTAATTTAACTTCCTGGGATATTAGATGTGAAAATTTTTAATTAGAGAAGTAAGCAACCTATCCTATTTCACACACACAGTTAGTAGCAGCAGTAAAATCAGAGCCCATGTCGCCTGCCAAAATTCAGTGTTCTTTCCCTTCCACCAAACTGATAAGTGTTTTTTTTTTAATGGAACTACCTTAAACAAGTCTAGTAGTTAGCTTATACAATAACTGAATTCAAGGAAAGATGCATAGAAATTTAACACTTACAGTTATTTTTATGTTCTTAGATATGGCTGCATTGGTCATGATTAAACATATTTCAAAAGGTAAAATACTATACAAAAGCACCAAGAAGTTCATGTAGATGGAAGTGTCTCTCTCTAATATTCCTCTCAATATTTGCATTGTTTAAATGGACAAATTATAAGCAGAAAGAGATTTTGAAGAAAACAGTGGTATTCTTATTAAGGGAACCAAACTATGTACATCACACATATTTATCTATTAATTAGCACTAACATCTTCTACATGTCTCTTCAGGTTCAATGTGAAAAATCAATGGCAGCACAATACGTGCCCTTGTTTATGTCTTTTGCTATTTACAACATGTGCCCATTTGACGATAAGTACTGCATCTTATTCAACTTTGTATCCCAGGAAACCTACCACAATACCCAGTCCATAATACATGCTAAGTAAAGGTCTGCTTAATTTACAGTGAAATTTTATAAACTATATGCATCAAAGCAAGCCTAAATACATAGGATTTTCATTTTTTTAGAGTAGGCTTTCCAATTTTATGGACACAAATGTATTTAGGACCAAATTAGGTCCTTTGTCTTCTTATAAGATAAATTGTGTTGATGGGCCACATTGGAAACATCTATTTTGTATAAGGAATTTAACAGAAGAAACCTTAAGTTGGGAAAAAAAACACATTACTGTATTTCTTTTTTCCTAACTTAAGGTTTCTTCTGTTAAATTCTGTAATGTAGAACAATTATCATTTCCTCGGGGCATAATTTTTTCATATAATGATTATACTTAAGACCCCCTTTCAGGTGGACAGTTGTCTGATGTACCTAGGCAAGTGTTTTGTTTTTTTAAATCATTGATTTTTTTCAGTACCAACATATAGCCAATACATAATTTTTCAGGCAATTACAAACATTCCATAATACAGGGAACCTGTCTAATTTATCTCTTTTTGTTTATCATATGGTCTAGCCCATGGTAAATATTCAGCAAACAAATGAACATTCTTTATTAAATAATTATTCAATGCTGTGAGCCAGACATACCAAGTAAGACAGGGTATAAGCAAATAAGATGGTAATAGTACCTATAAAGGAAATAGAGTGAATGTAGAGAATAAAGGTAGGTATATATTTGTGCTTACATGTGCATATATGTGTATGCAGTTTCAATAACATTTGAGCTAATACATAAAGGATGACGAGGAGCCAGCTTTCCAAAAACCTGGATGAACATTTTATAAAAAAGATATATCTTGGCTAAGACTCTAAGACAGTCAAGACATGGTCAGTTGGGAGGCTAGAAGGCAATCAGTGTGCCTGAGGACATATATTATTCTGTGAAGACAGAGATCTATGACTTTGCAGATGAAAAGAAGTTAGAAAAAATAGCAATGACATTCTTCAAAGAAATAGAAAAAATAATCATAAAATTTGTATGGGACTACAAAAGACTCAGAATAGCCAAGCCGTCCTGAGCAAAAAGAACAGAATTGGAAGAATCACATTACCTGATTTCAAATTATACTACAAAGCTATAGTAATCAAAACAGTACAGTACTGGCATAAAAACAGACTTGTAGAACAATGGAACAGAATAGAAAACCTAGAAATAAATCCATACATCTACAGTGAACTCATTTTTTTGTCAAAGGTACAAAAGTACACTGGGGAAAGGACAGTTGCTTCAATAAATGGTGCTGGAAAAACCAGGTGTCCTTATATGAAAGAATGAAAGTAGACCCTTATTTCTCACCATTTGCAAAAATCAAATCAAAATGGAATAAAGACTCAAATCTAAGACCTCAAACTATGAAACTAATAAAAGAAAACATTGAGGAAACTTTCCAGGACATTGGACTAGACAAAAATTTCTTTAGTAATACCCCACAGGCATAGGCAACCAAAGAAAAAATGGACAAATGAGATCATATGTTAAAAAGCTTCTGCACTGCAAAGGAAACAAAGCCAAAGACAACCTTTCTACAAAGTACTCATCTGACAAGAGATTAATAACCAGAACATATAAAGAGCTCAAATAACTCTATAGAAAAATCAAATAATCTGATTTTAATAATGGACAAAAACTCTGAATAGGTATTCCTCAAAAGAAGACATACAAATGGCAAACAGGTATATGAAAAGGTGGCCAACATCATTGATTGGAGAAATGCAAATCAAAACTATGTTGAGCTATTATCTCACCCCAGTTAAAATGGCTTTTATCCAAAAGACAGGCAATAACAAATGCTTACAAGGATATGGAAAAAAAGCAAACTCATGTATACTATTGATGAGGATATCAATTAGTACAACCACTATAGAGAAAAATGTGGACTTTCCTCAAAAAATAATATAAATACAATTGATATAACAATCCTACTCCTAAGTATATGCCCAAGAGAAAGGAAATCAAGATATTGAAAAGTTATCTGCACTCCCATGTTTATTGCAACACTATTCACAATGGCCAAAACTTGGAAGCAGCCTAAGTATCCATCAACAGATGAACAGATGAAGAAAATGTGGTGCATATACACAATGGAGTACTACTCAGCCATACAAAAGAATGAGATCCTATCATTTCCAACAACATGGATGGAGCTGGAGGTCATTATGTGAAGTGAAATAAACCCAGTACAGAAAGACAACTTCGCATGTTCTCATTTGTGGGAGCTAAAAACCAAAACAATGTAGCTCATGGAGATAGAGTAGAGAAAAATGGTTTTGAGAGGCTGGGAAGTGTAGTGGGTGAGTATAGGGAAGTGGGAATTATTAATGGGTACAAAAAAAATAGAATAAAAAAAATCTAGTAGTTGATAGCACAACAGGGTAACTATAGTCCATAATAATTTAATTGTACATTTAAAAATAAAATAGTATGAGTAGATTGTAATACAAATGATAGATACACCATTTACCCTATGTGATTATTATTCCTTGTATAGCTGTATGAAAATCTCATGTTCCCCATAAATATATACACCTACTATATACCCACACAATTAAAAACTAAAAATCTAGAATAAAAAATCTGAAATCCAGTTAGCAAAGAACAGCAGGATACCACATTGCATATCTGAAAAACAGCATGTCTCTGCATTCCAATATTATTATGCCTACCTTCCTGAATGAGAAGGCGCATTAGCAGGTCTATTATCTATAAGGATACACAAGAGAATAAAAATCAATTACCTGATAGAAATATTAGAGACTATTTTACCAAAGCAAGTTTCTAAAGTCACCCTTTTAGTAACTCAGTGTACTTTGTAATAGGAAGCTAATCTTATTTATTAGAATCTCAGCTTCTAGTTTTCTTCCCATATATGGGCAGTAAATTCGGTCATGCTGCAGCCAAAGTGACAGTTGTATATAACTGAAAAAATAAGTGCCAACTGAGATCATGATATTGAGGTCACCCGTGACATTGACCTTTCTAAGACCCTCTCAAATTCTTTTTCTTTCCACACAAACAGTTCACAATGTAATGTTAGTTGCTGTCAAATATGTAAAAGACAACACACTTAGTTGTGATTTTCTTGTTGAAGAAAGAAAAGCCATCCCTCAAATCCTACAATGGACTAAAGGGAAGAATTAACACATTAATTCAGACTACTTTTGTGATTTTTATCAGATAACATTTATGTACTCTAGCAGACAGCAGGAGTGCGCCTCCTATATTCCTCAGATCTTCCAGCCCATGTGCTGTCTCTGTGCCTGCGATCTTCCCCATTCTCCACTCCACCCATGAGGCAACCCTAAAGTATGGGAAATCCTAAGGGATTAACCACCCGCTCCCACAGCAGCCCTCAAACTATGGCTCCAGGGAAGGTAGTAGATAAATATCCCAGCTCCCTCGCCCCTCAGATGGATAAATTGACCATGTGTACTTGGCATCACTGCCCTGAGTTTCCTGTAGATTAAGCTTTAGGCCCTCTCTACTGCAGATGTCTTAATAATGCATCATAGATTGGCTGCCCTCCCTTCCCTGTACCCTCTCCTCTCTTTCCTACCAGTGATTATCTATGATTCCTAAAACACACCATTGTACCTGAATCCTTGTCTCAGGGACATGCTTCTGGGGAATGCAAATGAAGATATGCAAAATTAAAACAGAATGTCAATGCTTGACACCATAAAAGTAAGGGGTTAATGACGATAAACTTCTATTCCGTGTTGAAGGGGACATCATCCACTCTCTCATGTTTGCACATGGAAGGACATCCACCTAGATTAATGCACTGTTGTTTCTCCCTCATGGAGGTGAAATCTATTGCTGCATGTTTCTCGACTTACCAATGGGGAAAACTACTGAAGAGCTGCAGAAACTAAACATTTGTTCTTTCTTTCCTATCTACCCCAGACCAGTGGGAGTGATAAGTCTGGGGGATTTTGGCTGCCCTACGGACCCAAACTTTCCCTTAGGTGAGTAGCCCCAAATTCAAACCAGGGATTAGAGGTGGGCACACGGAGTGTTAGAAACTCTTAGCTTGTTTGTATATCTGAAGACACATTCCTTCATTGACTTTGTGAGCTTTAAAGCTGGCATTCTACAATCTGTTCATTCCTATTCTTTTTCTTAGTTGATTATGAACTTGCCATTATCAAGCTTGTCCAATGGACATCTTTGTGATTATTTTAATTTGTGGTGGAAAATTAAGAGAGTACAGAGATTAATGATAATTTAACCTGATAAAACTTTTAAGTCGTAAGTAGGACACATAAGTTTAGAACTTTTATCTCTTTTTCCTTTTCCCAAAGCCTTAATTATACCTGAACACATCTTGCCTTGCTCAGGCCTGCTTAGAGGCTCTGCCATTTCCTACCTTCTCACCAGCTCCTCCATGAAGCCACTGTCTTTTCTCCTTTCTTGCTGTAGAGCTGCTTCGGGCCACTCTCTGACATCTCAGCAAATTTGGGTTAATTTACTTATGCTTTCTGTTGCCCCACTGGTCTTCATGCAGGGATGTGATATTTGAAGCACAGGACAAGTTGGTGGCTTCAGCAGTGGTTTCTCAAGTCTATAGACACTCTCCAGCAGATGGCAATTTTCTGCCTTCCTGTATAACACCAGAATCCTCTCACCTGACAGAAATCTTTCTCTCCAGATGTGGCAAAGCCAGCACAGATCATCTTCTCTGTGATCCCTCCTGGATGCGCAGAGTAGTAAGTGTATTCACAGACCTTTCTTTCTAACACATGCACCCGAATCTGCTGTAGGCGACTTGCTAGGCCACCATCTAATGAAGCAACGTTCAGAGAGAGCTTGGTGAAGCAAGCAGCAAGGGATGTTAGAAACGTATTTAAGTTCAGACATAGCTCTGTCCCAGCATGACTGCAGTCACTCAGTATGGCCTGAGCTAATATAGCATACTCAATTTAAAAAACTCAAGTGTTTTATGTAACATGTCTTCATTTCCAGATTTGGTATTTTCTAAAGAGAGGCCATTGGCAGGAAAATAAAACCAGAAACACTTTTTTCTAGCTTATTTTCAATTTAAATGTTAATATATCAAATATTTCTGCATAAGCATTCTGGAAGAGAAAATTCAGCAAGATATGAATTGGTGCTATATACGACTTATGCAGTTATAAATATATGGTTATATATTTACATAAATATTTGCTTACAAATAATATGCTTATGATTTCCTAATATAAACAAAAATCATTATCCTGTTTTTCTTCTACTATCATTGAAGCCTAAATGCACCTCCAATTTAAGATAACATGAAATAATTTCTTTTCATAGTTGATCCTTAGGCAGGCCTGTGTTAACATGTATTTTTCATGACCATTCTATCATTTTAGATTTATGACCAATTTTTTTAAGTTTAATATTTTATAGCCCTATACCTTTTAGGGCAGTATTAATAACAAGTACTTTAAATTTATATAGTAACTTAATATGAAGAATTTTATTCTAACCTAATAATACAACAACATTTTCCATATGTGAGGTCAGGTTAATCACAGTGGTCTCACATATGAAAAAACCAGACCTCTGAAAATTTGATCTCACAGCTCTTATGGGACAGAACTAGGCTCAAGCCTAAGTTCAAATCTAAACCTCTCATTCTTCTTAATATCCTAAAACTCCTCTTCTCAGGGACCATCTCCCTTAGTGTGGCTGACCATATCCCAAAAAATTAACATTCATTTCCTCTCCTAGTTGGAAAGAACAAATCCATTTTTTATAAGACTAACCACCTCTCAGTTGCCTGGTCGTCATGGAATTAGTAAAAGTCAAAGATTTTAGAGAGCAGGCACATTTATTCAAGGCCTTTGAAGCCAGTAAGCCAAAAAATGTTTACTGAATGGCATGTATGCTTCTAGCCCTGGGCAGAAAGTGACCAATGACAGCCTCCAAGAGGCTCTCGGTCTAGTGTGCGAGATGTGGAAGATGACTGCCTGAAATCAGGCCAAGTACATTAACGTGCAATGAGAGGATAAAACCAGGTAGTGCAGAATGCAATGGGAGGCCCATCCTCCTGCAGCAGTGTGGGCCAAGAAAGGAAGTGATATTTTGGTTCAAGATGCAATAATGAGCAGGCAGCTGTGACAAGATTGTAACAAGCATGTTTCAAGTAGGAGGACACAAAATGGGGAACTTCAGAAAGCAAAGCAAGCTTGGTGTTAAGGAGAAAGACGAAAAGCTACGGTATCTGAAGGTTAACCAGAAGAACAGAAGAGGGGAATTAAGTGGTAGAGGTAAGTGGAGAGGCCCAATCACGCAGAGCTTTCCAAGCTAGGCTAAGGAGTTCATATTTGATTGTAAATATAATGAGAAGCCATTAAGGAATGATTATAAGCTGAGTCCTGCTGATCTTAAATCCTCGCTTTGATATTTGTTAGTTATGGGATCTTAGCAAGTTACTTAAATCTTTGGGTTGCAACCTTCTCATTTGTAAAATGGGGATGATAAAAGCTCCTCGTGTTGGATGCGAAGGTTTTTATGAAAGTGCAGTTTGGCTTCACATAGCACAGTAAGCTGTGAATATCAACACCATAAGCAGTCAAATATAAATTCCCTCCCCATTCAAGCTCACAGATTCCAAATACATGACATATAGAAAGGAAATATATAAAGAAAATAATCTTATATGGTGTAAGAAGCAAAAGACAAATGTCAACCATTCATATCTTTCAGTGTTTTACTAAGCCTTTAAGAATTCCATACCATACCCAGGGGTGAGCACACAACAGGCAGTGGATAAATTCTATGCCACCCCAAAACACAGGCACAATCTATGAAATAAGAATGGTTTATACATTTTAAAAATCCAAAGAATGATATTTCATGACAATGAAATTTAAATTTTATTTATGAAGTTCTATTGGAACCCATTCTGTTACATAGTGCCAATGGCTGTTTTATGCTGTAACAGTAGACTTGAATAGTTGTGACAGACACCAGATGATCTGCAAAGCCTGAAAGGATTATTATCTGGCCCATTACAGTAAAGGTTTGTCTACCACTAATCTGGCCTACTTATAATCCAAATTATCCTGAAGGAAAAGTTTTTAAATAGCTCATTCTCAATTTATTTGCTTATCCATTATAGTGAAATAAAACATGGTCTCCATCTTCTAGAAAGAAAAGGGGATGAAGCGGATGCTGCTTAATATCATTTACATGACCTAGTTTCAAAAATAACTCGCATTAATGTTTGTGCAACAAAAAATGCTTACCTCTGCTGATGCTTCCCCATCCGGTGACAGCACAGATCTCGGAGGAAAACAGAGGCTCTGCGCTGTGTGGGAGACACACTGGCCTCACTGCCGAGGTATACTCCAGAGGAGAGCTTAGCTGTACTAGGGCAATGTCAGAGTCATAACTTAGTATGTTGAAGTCTTCATGCACTATTATGTGTTTGGCCCTTCTCACCTGTATCAGTGGCAAGCAAGCAAATTCCAAGATGAGAAAGTCAAAGAATCCAGCTACTTCCTTGTTGACGGTACAAAATAATCCTAAATCTCTGCACTTACATACATCAGCAACAAAGAGAACTTTGTATTATAAAAGAGCAATCCTGATTTACAATTTGCAGGAGGCTTTGAACCACCTTCTGGATATTGGTGGCACTGGAAAAACAAAGCTTTGGAAACCTGTGCCCATGGGCCTAAATTTGCAATTCTGACCTACTTTGTGTAACTCTCAAGTGAAAGTGTAATCTCAAGTTGCATCTTTAAATGTGGATATAAATGATAAGTGTAGAAGGGCCCTGGGAGATTAACTAATTACATATTTTAGCTAAAGGTATTGCTTGGCATGTGAGAACACTTAGAGTACAGGCAGAATGACCTGTAAAAACATTCTTTTTACCTGTTCAGTTGATTCCTTCAGGGTTCTGTCATGGTCCCCAGCAATAATAGTCCAGGAGAATGCATTATTCTTCCTGGAGACAGAAGAACAGTGAAAGTTTGACATGAAACCCGTTTGTATTAGTTTGTTCTCATACTGCTGTAAAGGACTACCTGAGACTGGGTAATTTATGAAGAAAAGAGGTTTAATTGACTCACAGTTCCACATGGCTGGGGAGGTCTCAGGAAACTTACAATCATGGCTGAAGGCAAAAGGGAAGCAAGCATGTCATGTCACAGCAAAGCAGAAGAGAGAGAGAGAGAGAGAGAGAGAGAGAGAGAGAGAAAGGGCGAGAGAGAGCGAGCACACACGAGTGAGCGCGAGCAAAGGAAGCCAAATACTTTTAAACCATCAGTTCTTTTGAGAATTCACTATCATGAGAACAGCATAGGGGAACCACCCTACCAACGTCTGGTCCTACTAACATGGACCATTCAGTTCAGCAAGGCAACAGTCCCCTGTCTGATTGCCTCTGCAATCTACCTTCCAGGGAAGCCACATCACGCTCTCTGATCTATGTGAAGAGGGGCTCTTGATCATGTATCCTGCCCCTTTCTTTTGGCCGTAAAGTGTCATTGGAGATCTTGCCAAATATCAGCAAAGGCTTTTTTAGGTTGAGGAGGAAAAAATGAAAATAATTAAAGCTTATTTGAATTTCACAGTGATGTTATAAATGCATTTTTAAAAATTATGTCTGTGACAAGGTAGCTTCTGGTCTATATTTTACGGTTCAAAATTGCCAAATTATGATCTCACTGGGTCATGTCTCAGATTTTCATCTTTTATTAAATCAGAATTATGAAACTGAAGTTAAAAAGGATTTATCAGTTTAAAAATTGGCAAAACTCAACTATTGCATTAGAAATCAGAATGCTGATTACTTTTAGGGGAGTGGTGACTGGAAGAGGCACAAGAGTGGCTGCTGGGTACAAGTATTTTGTTTCTCGAACTGGGTGTTGGTTATGTGGGTATTCATTTTGTGAAAAGTTCTGTATACTTGATATACCTCAAAATGATGTTAAAAAGTTTGAATAAATTGTTAATTTACCATATCAAGCTGAAAAAGTGTCTGAGGGAAGAAACCCTCTACTGCCACCAATATACCAGTCACTTCTACTTGGAGACTAATTATTCCATTTATTTTTAACACTGTTTCTTCAGGAAAAGTAAAGTTACTGAAATTATTTTTCAATATACCTTATTCAAAGGTGAAGTTTTGTGTGTGTGTACACATTTAGTTTTATTGTAACAAAGCAACTTGTACACTTTCAACATTTAAAACTGAGCATTATCTTTCCCTTCCAGTGAAACAAAAAGAAAATTTTAAAATGAACAGGAACAAAATTTCAATAGAGAATGTCAATTCCAGATAAGATCCCTCAGGTTCTGCTGATTGAGTGGCAGGGCTCAAGTCATCATTAGGAGAGAATTTATTTTAAAAGTGACATCTTAAACTGCAAGGATGTCTGTCAAACATCACAATTAAACACTCCAAAAGAAAAGCCATGTTGTCAAAATGCCCACTCCACCCACCCAAGCATCTCAAACCCACCTTTTGCTGATCTTCTATAATCCCATTTCTCTAAGTTTTTTTAATCTTTTTTTAAACAAGAGAAAGTAGACAGAAACATGTTGGTAAATGCTAACTGTCCGTATTCACATAGAGACACAGTGTACTCTCTGAACCTAATATCCAGAGAAAGGAGGAAAAAAGCTAGAATTCTATGCACTGCTACATGGGGGCCTAGCATCCTCCAGCTTCCAGCAGGGTGAAGGGAGCAGGTTTTTCTTTTATCCCCACAGAGCTTGGTGGTGTTGATTCCATAGAGTTTTTGTTCAGACAGGAAGGGATAAAAATGAATTTCGAACAGAAAGGGGTAGACACTCTTTTCCCATTGTATTCTGCTCAAGATATTTCCCTCAAAATAAGTTGAGAACCATGGTGCAGAGAAAAGAGACCTCAAAAACAGGGTGACTGAACACAAGAGGAAAAAAAAAAAAAAGACTACAACTTGCTCCCAGGGACTGGAGAAAATTTAGGTAAAGGTTTTTAATACATGTAGGCACCTTCTCCCAAGTCATAACCATGCTCATTTCAATTCCTTGCATGATGAGTTTCACTTACTCATGTGTTTCATTATGCCTTTATTAAGGGAGCTAACTCAAGTGAAGTGTTTGGCAAGTACCCGGTGGATGGTAATGAGTCCATAATGGTAGCCATTATCATTCTTATTATCTGCTATGCAAGCTAATGGAAGGATTAAACTTTTTCAAAGTCACCCTCTAAATAATTACTTGGTAGTGAAGAAACTTACTTCTTAAATCTACTCCACATCTTTATATAAAAGAGAATGTATACAATACAATGAAGTTGCAAAAATGATGGTAGGGTTGATAATGTAGACCACAGTTTCTTGTGATGTTTTACATGTACAGTCATCAAATATCCTTCAGTTTAATGGATAAGCATGACAAAGCCACACACTTTATGATACCACAAAGTTTGAGATTTTTACAACAGTGGGAAAATAGCTCAAGGTATCAACTGATAGATTTCTTTATCTTTTTTTCCACCCTCTCCCATATAAAATGTCATCTTTTATAATCTTAAGGTCTTATCCCCAACCCAACAATGGGGCATGTGTCACTGCTATGGAAAAAAAGCCACCTGACTTTGTCACAGAAAGAGTGAAGTTTAAGTAGCTGATTTAAGTTTTAGAAAGAGTCAGATATATAATAACTGCAGAGTGAGCTTAGTTGCCTAAAGTAAGTTAAAACTCCCAGTGAGCACAAAAACCTGTGTGGAATTAACAAGATGAGATTTTCCTAAGTGTGGAACACCGCTGCCAGGAATTTCTCAGGCCCCGCACCAGACTTAAAGAATCAGAAACTTGAAATTAGATCCAAGATGGCCGACTAGGAACAGCTCAGGATTGCAGCTCCCAGTGAAAGCACAGAGGGTGAGTGGATGCCACATTTCCAGACAGATTTTTATTGCCCACACATAAGGAGATTCCCAGGCAGAGGAGCCCTATGCATCGCCAGCATGACTGTTTTGGCTGGCGTGGCTGTTTTGGCCAGCACGGCTGCTTTGCTGGTGCCCCAGCACAGCAGTTTCTCCATAAAAAATACACTGGATCAGGTGCCCTTATAGCTGGCAATTGGAGCTCTGGGAAGGCAGAGTCACCCAGTCATCTGATTAAAAAGGGGACTGAAACAGGGAGCCAGGCCAGAAGATTCCCAGGCAAAAAAAGCACCATGAATCTCAGCACCACTGTTTCAGCCAGCACAGTGAGTCACTGCATGGGAAATCACACAGATCCCGGCACCTTTTCAGCGGGCAACTGGAACACCTGGGAGAGTCGACCATTCAACTAAAAAAAATTAAAAAAAATAAAGGCTCTGAGGCAGGAAGCCAGGTGATCAGGCTTGGCTGGTCCCACCCTCTCTCTCTCTCTCACACACACACACACAGACACACGCACACACAGAGTAGCAATTGGAAACACTCTGGGTTGAGTTTCACAGCAAGCACAGCTGAACCCACATGGTCCAGCTCTGAGGGGGAGGGGTGCCTGCCATTACCGAGGCACTCCACCACTACTCAAGTACTCCACCATTGCTGAGGCAGCCCACCGCTGGTGAGGCAACCTGCCATTACAGAGAGAGTCCACCATTGCAGAGGTGGGCCACCATTGCCGAGGCAGTTCTAACTACACCCATATAAACAGGACTGCAGAGAAGTTTGCACAGCAGCTGGGCAGAGCCCATAGTAGCTCAGCAAAGCCTCTGCAGGCAGACAGTGACTAGGCAGCCTCCTTGCTGGGCAGGGCAGCCCTGAAAAAAAAGGCAGCAGCACAACAGAAACGAACAAAGCCCTAACTCCCTGGGACAGAGCACCTAGGGAAATAAAAAAGGGGAGGGAGTTCTGCTTCAGGAGACATAAACATACCTGCCCAGCAGCTCTGAATGAACAATGGAGCTCACAGTTCAGCACTTGAGCTCCTATAAAGGACAGACTGTCTCCTGAAGCAGCTCCCTGTCCCCCGTATATCCAAAGAGTCACCTCATAAAGGAGAGATCAGACTGACATTTGGCGGGTATCCTGGGAAAAAGCAGAAGAAACTGGTAGCAACCCTTACTGTTCTGCAGCTTCTGCAGGTGATCCCCAGGCTAGCAGGGCCTGGAGTGGACCTCAGCAGTCCTACAGCAGAGGGGCCAGACTGTTAGAAGGAAAACTAAGAAAGAGAAATAACTTCATAATCAACAAACTGGATGTCCACTCAGAGACCTAATCTGAAAGTCAGCAACTACAAAGATGACAGGTGAATAAATCCACAAAGATAGGAAGAAACCAGCACAAAAAGGATGAACACACCTGAAACCAGAATACCTCTCCTCATACAAGAGATCACAACTCCATACCAGCAAGGGAACAAGGCTGATTGGAGAATGAGTGTGATGAAATGACAGAATCAGGCTTCAAAAGGTGGGTAATAAGAAATTTCTGTGAGCTAAAAACATGTTCTAACCCAATGCAAAGAAACTAAGAACATTGAAAAAAGATTTGATGAAATGCTAATGAGAATGGACAACGTAGAGAGGAATATGAGTGAATTGATGGAGCTGAAAAACACAACACGAGAACTTCACAAAATATCCACAAGTTTCAACAGCCAAATTGACCAAGCAGAAGAAAGGATATCAGAGGTTAAAGATCAACTTAATGAAATAAAATGAGAAGACAAGATTAGAGAAAAAAGGGTAAAAAGGAATGAACAAAGTCTCCAAGAAATATGGCACTATGTGAAAAGACCTAATCTACATTTGATAGGTGTACCTTAATGTGACAAAGAGACTGAATCCAAGCTGGAAAATATCTTGAGGATATTATCCAGGAAAACGTCCCCAACCTAGCAAGGTAGGCCAATATTTAAGTCCAGGAAATAACAGAGAACACGACAAAGATATTCCTCAAGAAGAGCAACCCCAAGGCACATAATAGTAAGATTCCCCAGGGTTGAAATGAAGGAG